TGACGCGAAGTAAGCAGTCGCGTGGTTACTGGAGGATCATGGGGTAAGGGGCATGCACTAGCGAAGGTCTGATTGACTTTGCTAGCTCGTGCAAAGAATGCTCGACGAAAAAATATGTAGTCTCTACTCGGGTAGTAATTGTCCACATTGACCATCGAGCCTTAAAGCTTGTACTCGCTTTTGGCAATTCGATATTGGCAAGAGTTTGTGATATCAGGAGGTGCATCAGTTGTTTATGCATAATGTCCACATGCTGCAGATTGTAAATAATTCATTTTTACTTGTCAAAACATCACGAACTTGATAAACAGTGCCATTTTGTGGACAAATTGTTCCGTCACTGTAGCTGCCAGCAGCTCGCCAGCAGCTAGCCGCCAGCAGCTTGCCGCCAGCAGCTTGCCGCCACCTAGCCGTCAGCAACTCGCCACCAGCAGCTCGCCGCTGACTGGTCGCTCATCAGCTCCTACGCTCGCCACTCGCCCGGCCGCACGTCGCATTATGCCGCCAGCTCCCCACTCGTCGCCAACTCGCCAACAACTGCACCTATCCTTTTGCCATGTGCTAGCCATCAGCACGCCACTCGCCTGCCGCTGCCGCCGCCGCTGCCACCCCTACTATGGCTACTACAGCCGCCACTGCTGTCGGCGCCGCTACTGTAGCTGCCACCCTACCACTCTGGCCGCCGCTACATCCGTCGCTGCTTCTTCTCGATCTCCTGCCGCCCACTACCACTCCCCATTGCCTTTGCATCAGTCGCTGCCCTTGCAGCCGCCGCTACTGCACCCGTTGCCGCCATTGCCCTTGCAGCCGATATTGCCGCCGCTACCGCAACTCCCGCCGCTACCACTGCAGCCGCCGCTCCAGCTGCCGCCGCTACTGTGAAGACTTGGCACCTCTACCGGTGCACACTGAGAATTGAACCCGATACCTTTGGCTCTGATACCATGTCATAACTCAATCACTAACCACTAAGTTAAAAGGACTTGTTAAGTAGCGGATAAGTGCGCCCATATCCTCCCAGGCTCTGCACATGTGACCCTTTCCCAAGGATCTCACGGGCATCCCCACCGGGTCTCTCGACACGACGAACCCAAACTTGTGTGATGTCCAGTGCTGAAAAACGACAGGGCTCGGGGTCCGATATCAGGGAGACGGATCCTGATATCTGTTTAGTAGAATTATGCTTTGAATATTTAGTTATACGTGTGCAAGCAACAACCAACAGATACGTCTTCTTTGCTATGCTTTGTTGGCTCGCTTACTCTTCATTATCACATCTACGTGGCTCGAGGCTTCACTCAACGCGAGGGGGTGGACTTCTTTCATACCTTCACCCCGACCCCGAAGATGACTACTCTTCGGGCGATGCTACATGTAGCAGCACAGCGTGACTACGAGCTTCACTCCCTCGACTTCTCCACTGCTTTTCTTCAGGGCAGCCTACACGTCAGGTCTACATGCGCCGTCCATAGGGCTTCACCGGTACCTTTCCGCCTGGGACCCAGTGGCTCCTCCGGCGCCCGGTCTACGGCCTGCGACAGGCGCCCCATGAATGGCACCAAACGCTGCGTGCTACGCTCGCTGACCTGCAATTCTTTCCATCCTCCGCAGACCCCTCGCTCTTCGTACGTGCTCGCCAAACTCCGTTCTACATTCTTGTCTACGTAGACGACTTGGTCCTCGCTACTGCAGACAGAGACGCACTGACCTCTGTGAAGGCCAAGCTGCTGAGGAGGCACACCTGCACTGACCTAGAAGAGTTGCACCGCAACCTTGGCCTGCAGATCTCCAGGGACAGAGCAGCGCGCACCATCACTCTCACACAGTCACACTTGGTGCGCCATGTCCTTCAAAGGTTCAGTTTCCAATTCTCCTCAGCGTAGCCTACACCTCTACCAGTAGACCACAGGCTCTTCGCTCCTGTTCCTGAGGAGTCAATAGAGCCCAGTTGCCCTTACGCAGAGCTAGTGGGTTGCCTCATGTACCTGATGACTTGCACTCGCCCTGATCTCGCATACCCTCTCAGTATCCTGGCTCGCTTTATGGCTACAGGCAGATACCGACCACGGCAGTGGTCGGCCGCGAAGAGGGTTTTGCGTTATCTAGCAAGTACATCGGGCATGGGCCTAGTATTGGGAAGACGCAGGCCGGTGGTCCTTACTGGGCACACTGCCGCTTCTTGGGCAGACGACACAGAGACCCTCATGTCCTCCAAGGGCTACTGCTTCAGCCTTGGTGCAGGCGCGGTCTCATGGAGGTCCACCCATTCATCGTCAGTTGCTCAGTTCAGCTGCAAGGCTGAGATCTACCCTGGTGCCACGGCGGTGCAGGAGCTCCGCTGGTTGACTTTCTTGCTCACAGACTTAGGTGAGTGGCCTAGCTCTGCCCCGAATCTGTACGCTGACAACAGGGCCATGATCCTTCTGTGTCAGGAGCCTCGACAGGAGGGCAGAGCGAAGCACATCCAGCTGCGGTACTTCCTCCTGCGCGAGCTACAGCAGCGTCGCCAGGCCTGCGTAGTACACTTGGCCTCCGATGCCAACACAGCTGATATCTTTACTAAGGCGCTTGCGCCTAAAGATGATCAGCGGCACTGTTTCTAGCCTGGTCTGGTTCCTGTAGCTACTTACTTGCTAGGACCTTGATTGTGTACTTCTCTTTATATATACCTTTCAGACTGGCCTTGTGGCTTCTCTTCCAGTGGTCGGACTAGTAGTGCCGCCCTGGTTTGCTCTTGTCTTGTTTGTACTCTAGCTGACTGGTCTTCGGACCCTTGCCTTAGAGGCTGGACTAGTAGTGCCACCCCGAGCTGTGTGTCGACCTCCAGGCACTGCCCCTCATCTGGCCTAGGGGGTGTGTCAAACATATTTGTAAATGTTATAATAGGCTAGATAGGTGCATGCTCTTAGAGGGTACAACAATTGCCCAAAATCAACATGTATGCCATATTCTAGTCAACTTTCCTATTCTTAGAACTTTGTCGCGTGCAATTTTGACATCAAATGTTTACGTTTTCATCTTTCCTGCAAGACCCTGGTTCTCACGTGGGGTGGGGTGCTTGACTGTGTTAATCCTGAAGTCAGGGTGACGTGGGGTGACGTTTTGCGGAGCCGAAGGCGAAAGGGAAGTGGGTGATGAGACTCACGTGAGGTGTCACGTGCAGGTAGCCCTCTCATTTGGGGAGGAATGGTGTGTAGAGGAATGTCTCTCATGTGGGGGACTTAGCCAATTTTTTTGGGGTGCGAGAGGTGTGGGGAGGAATGTCTCTGGTATGGGGAACTTAGCCAAAATTTTAGGGGTGCGAGGGTTGTGGGGAGGAATGTCTCAGGTGTGGGGAACTTAGCAAAAAAAATTGGTATGCGAGGGGTCTGGGGAGGAATGTCTCTGGTGTGGAGGACTTAGCCGAAATCTTTGGGGTGTAAGGGGTGTGTGGAGCCGGTACACATGTATGTTTTAGTGAAACTCGATTCACTTGTCTAAAGATCAGATAAAATGGTACACCTAGTCTTAGAAATTCAGAGAAATCTTAAACACTTGTCTAGGCCAATCAGAGTTTTTCCAAACCGTTGTCTGAAAAATCAGAGAAACCCCTAAAAACCAGTCTGAGAATCAGAAAATCAGACAAAAAAAGTCTGCTATTTAGGACCCTGACTAGTACTACCCTATTGAACACGGAAAGAAACGTTCGCACAAGAACGTTTACAACAATGACATGTGAAAATTACAGCACATGCTTAGTTGGTAATTTTCACCACCTGAGAATTAGTTGTTTTAACAATTTCATGTTGTGCAACTGTCAGTTGTTACGCACATTTCTGCAGTTACGAAATGTGCGTTATATAAGGAATTTCCATTCCTTACTGAGTCGTACGCTAGCGCGTACACCCGAACTCCTCGACTCGTCACGTTCGGCCTCATTTGTTGGCCCAACCCTTTCCCGAGTCGCGTCCGGCACTGTCGCCACATTGCCGAACCTATCTACAATCTGAGGTTATCGCCCTAGCACGCCAGCCCCGATATAAGAGTCACCCGAAGTTCCTCTCTAGCGCATCCGGAATCTTGACTCTGCAGAGAGGGTTGCCTGTAGAAGCGCGTTCTGCGAACTGCTCTCGCAGCTCGGCACCCCCTCTGCGAATGGCCCTTGGTGTCGATTCGGCAGAGGGTCTTCTACACTCTCGAATCTGTCGCAATCACTTCCACAAATAGACCGCTTCCTTCGTAGAGGCCAATTCGCCTCTCGCAGAAGCATCGACGACTGCAACAAAGTCACTTCGACAGAACTCCTCGCCGTTGACGAGCATTCCCGCAGAGCCTCGCCTTGTCGACAAACCTGCTCTTCATCGATATGCCTTTCTACAAGGCTTGCATCAATAGAATTTGTTGATATGCCGCTTCTGCAGACTTCTACAGCCTTCGCAGAATCAGGGATATTCTCAACAAGGAAAATGACATTTCGTTACCCCGGAGTTCACGTCGTAAAGCGTGCACCACTAAGGGCTCCTCCGCTTCTTATCGCGTTTATCTGAGCCGTATCACCCAAATTCGACTATCTCGATCCACATATACATTCGTATGTCTCGAACCTACTTTTCCGCCATATGTATCGAGGTTTTCCGAGATTATTTTTTTGCTTCGTGCCTCACTATATCCTAGTGCTGGGCTTGTTTTAGTGTTGATTGTGCAATAACGACAATTCTCGTTTCTAGCTCATAACACGTACCTTGGGCTAAACACTAGATTGTGACCAAATATTGTGGGTTTGGAAAATCCTACGGTAGTCTTGTAAAGAAGATGACTGTCCAACAATTCTGGAAACCCTTGAGCTGTGATGCTGCACGCCACTTTTCCTTGCCCCAACCTTTTCGTCAGGTTTGCAGTTAGCTGACGCCTCCAGCCCGGATTGACGGAAAAGCGATAGCACTTTCTCGTCCACCCCCCAATCCCCCAGCCCAGACCAATCCAAGCCCAACCAAGCCCCAACGGGAAGTTCTAAAGGAAGCCTGCAACAAGGATTTCTGCTGCTCGGAGCAACGGCCTAGATTTCTCCACAGACACGCAACGATCATATCTTTCTCGAGAAGTCAGTAGTTTTTCTGGTTCAATGCTCGAGTATTCCTGGATTCGCGAGGCATCTCTAGTCTGTGTTTCCATCCGTTGCGTGCTTTTCACGGTTTCTGATGTATGAAATTAGGGTTATCGTCTTGCGTCCTTGATAGGCCGCCTAAGTTGAAATGCAACGATCTTATAGTTTCCATCGCCAAATCTGTCCTCGACATTCCTTTTAACAGTATAGTTATTTTTATAACGCGGAAATAACCAGCAATCATTGCCTCCAGATGGCGCATCGAGCTTCCTCCGCCTCCTCCGGAGCGGGAGAGCCACGAGTATGGGCCCCCAGGCGAAGCCAGCGAGTGGATCAACGGCCAGGATTCGCATCAGCCGCCGCCGCCGCCGCTACGCCCTCTGCTGCCGGCCGGAGTTCCAACGTGCGGCCCGTGCGGCCAGCCGGATCCCCCGCCGCAGCTCCCGCTGAGGGGCACAGCGTCACGAGCCGCACCCCGGCGCAACACCGCCGCTCGCTAGCAGAGATCGCGGCCGCGTCGTCCTGCGGCAGCCGGCCCGCGCCTGGCGGCGGGATGACGGCGGTGGTCGGGGAGGCGAGTCTCACTGCGCAAGTCGCGGACAACCTCGCGCTGCCGCCGCACGGCGTCGCGTCCGCCGCGTCCTCCTTAAACGGCGGGGATGGTGGCGGGAGTGCCGTTGGCGCAGGCAGGGCAGGGGGAGGGGGAGTGGGAGGGGAAGCGGGCAGCGCATGGGGTGTACAGTACCACGCGGGGCCCAGCAGAGCGGCGGCTGATTGGCCGGCTATCGCTACCGCGTCGCACGAGTTTGTAGAGGGCGCTGCGGCTTCCGAGTCGTCGGAGGTTCCTGTAGCGAGGGATATGGAGTCCGGGAAAGAGGGAGGCGATCCCCATTGGGTGGAAGGCCACCGGCACCAGCAGCAGCAGCAGCAGCAGCAGCTGCTCGAGCAGCAGCACCGGCATCAGCAGCAAGTAATGGAAGAGCAGCAGCCGCCGCCGCCGCCGCCACATCAACAGCTTGCGCGGCAACACCGGCAGCAGCAGGAGCAGCAGGAGCAGGAGCAGCAACAACAACAGCTGCTGCTGCAACAGCAGCAGCATCAGCAATCGCTACATCTGCACCAGCAGCAGCGGCAACAGCGGCAGCAGCAGAACATAGGCGCACGTCAATCCAACGCAGACGATCATCTTCATCCGTCGCAGCCGCGGTCGCAGTCGCAGTCGCAGCAGCAGCGGCAGCATGTCGCCATGGCGGACGACCAAGACTCTGTAGATAGCCACGAGGAGAGCTTTGCGCAGGTCGCTCCGCCTGTTGCGCGCGAACAGGTCTCACAGTCCAACTCAGTCGTAGACGGCAGGCGCGGCGGGGGCTGGGGCGCGGGGGGCCGCGGAGTCGAGTTCCGCGGGCACGTGCAGACGCGCTCGGCGCGCAGTGGCCGCGGCCGCGGAAGCGTAGGGAGAGAAGGCGGGGTTGCCATCAGCGGCGTTGGCGTGGTGAGGGGAGTCGGCGCAGGGCCTGGCGGAGCGGGGGTATGGGCAGTCGCGGAGGGAGACGGGAGCCGCGCGGGGTACTGGGCTGGGCCGCATGGGGAAGGGGGAGGGGGGTTGGGGGAACGGGGCCCGGGGATATCTTCCGCCATGGGCGTCCCCGCGCCTGCTGCCCCCGTGCTGAGCCAAGGATCGTCGCTGGGGAGCGGGCATGACGCGGGCGCAGGCGCGGGCGCGCATAAGAGGCAGCGAGGGAGGCGGTCCGCGCCTGCGCCCGCCATGGCGGAAGTGCACATGGCCGCGGATGCGGGCGGGCGGGTTGGAGATTCTGACGAGGTCTCGATCGGCAGTATGAACGCCTGCAGCAGCGGCGCTAGAAGCGCGGGAGGCGGAGGGGCAAGAAGCGGGGGGGGAAGTGCGGGGGGAGGAGTGGGCGGAGGGGAAGGTGGGGGGGGAGTTGGGGGGAGAGATGGGGAGGAGATGGAGGGGGGCGCAGCTGCCTCAGGGGCGGGGGGAGAGGGAAGCGGGCGGGGGAGTGGGCGGGGGAGGAGACGGGGAGGGGGGAGCAGGGGGGCGCAGGGGGCGCAGGGGTCGCAGACAGGGGGGAGGGGGCAGGAGGATCGGGAGATCGACGCCTTGGGGCGGTGCATGACCAAGATCCTGCGGCATCAGGCGAGCCAGCTGGGCATACACGTGGCGCCAGATGGCTTCGTGCTAGTGGTAGATCTCCTGCGGCTGCCTGTGAACACCAACGCCCACCGGCCCCTCGCATCGCACACGCTGGAGGACGTGCGCAAGGTAGGGAGGCGTTGGTTGAGCCAGGTTTGGGGGGTGGTATGTGTGCGGCCTCTGGTGGTATGGGGATTCTGTAAGGTATGGGGCTGCCCTGTGTGCCCTGCTGAGGGGACTTTTTTTCAGGTGCCTAAAGAAAAAAGTGGGCTGCAATTTTTGCCCTGCTGAGGGCTCAGATACGTCCCTGTCACCGCACCGCACCGCACCGCACATGCCCACCGCACCGCACATGCCCACCGCACCGCACATGCCCACCGCACCGCACATGCCCACCGCACCGCACATGCCCACCGCACCGCACATGCCCACCGCACCGCACATGCCCACCGCACCGCACATGCCCACCGCACCGCACATGCCCACCGCACCGCACATGCCCACCGCACCGCACATGCCCACCGCACCGCACATGCCCACCGCACCGCACATGCCCACCGCACCGCACATGCCCACCGCACCGCACATGCCCACCGCACCGCACATGCCCACCGCACCGCACATGCCCACCGCACCGCACATGCCCACCGCACCGCACATGCCCACCGCACCGCACATGCCCACCGCACCGCACATGCCCACCGCACCGCACATGCCCACCGCACCGCACATGCCCACCGCACCGCACATGCCCACCGCACCGCACATGCCCACCGCACCGCACATGCCCACCGCACCGCACATGCCCACCGCACCGCACATGCCCACCGCACCGCACATGCCCACAGCCCCCCCGCCGCGTCGCACACACTGGTAGTTGGCCACAAGCTATGGAGGCACAGGTTACGCCAGGGTGGGGGGGGGTGACATCTGTGCTGCACTCCCAATAGACTTTTGAGTCGACTCAAGTCATCTGGTTACGCCTGGATCGGGGGCTTGATGTGTGCTATAGCTCAGGTTGAGGAAGTAGAGGGTTATTGGGGCGGCTTTGTTTGCTACGGTGCGGGGTAGCAAAGGTGCTTTGTGTCGTATTGAAATTGCCACCACACTCAGGGGCACTAGGGCACGCATTTTGCCTTCCGTCCCATTTCTCTACATCCCCTCTCTTCCCCCTCCCCCCCCTTCCTCTCTCCCCCAAATTGCAAATCTACATAGGCTGTAGCGCGGGACAACAAGCAGCGGTTCACGCTCAAAGAAGGGCCGGACGGCGAGGCGTATGTGCGGGCGAACCAGGGCCACTCGCTGCACGTGGACGAGGAGCAGCTGCTGCAGAGAGTGACCAACCCCGCAGTGCTTCCAGGTGCGCTCCTCTGTGCTACTCAGCCCGTGTGGCGCCTGACACTGAGGGCCCTTGCGTGCGAGCCAGGGCCATTCGCTGCATCTGGACGAGGAGCGGCTGCTGCAGAGAGTCCCTCGCCAACCCAACTGCCCTCCCAGTGCACTCCACAATGTGGGCTAAGGTACCCGTTATGGGCCAAGCCGTGTTTTGTTTTTTAGAATTCTAAAAAACAATGTGGGCGCTAAGGTATCCCTTATGGGCCGAGGCATTCCGTGCACTCGTTAGTCCCAGGGCTAAAATAACCCTATTGCTGCCATGCTATAATGCTGACTACTGCTGTCTTATATTGGTCCCCTTCCCCTCGTCCCCTCTTCCCCTCGTCCCCTCTTCCCCTCGTCCCCTCTCCCGCTTACCCGTGTTAACCTTCCCCTGACGACCAGAGTGTGTGCACGGCACGTACGAGCGCCACCTGCCATCCATACTGGCGTCTGGCCTGAGCCGCATGAACCGGCAGCATGTGCACCTCACCAAGGGCGTTCCCTCGCACCACAATGCTGTTGTCAGCGGTACGTGTCCACTTTCACACACCGCTTCTCTCTCTCACACACCTCTCCTCTCTCTCACACACCTCTCCTCTCTCACACGCCTCTCCTCTCTCACACCCCTCTCCTGTCTCTCACACCTCTCCTTTCTCTCACACCTCTCCTCTCTCTCACACACCTCTCTTCTCTCAAACACCTCTCCTCTCTTCCAACTCTTCCTGGTGAACTGCAATGCTTGTTGCCTGCCAGGGCAGCTCTCACCAACCTCCTGGCATCTCCCCGTTGCCCTCACTCGCCTCTGTGCTGCAGGGTTCCGTGCGAATGCCGAGGTACTTGTGGTGGTAGACGTGGCTCGAGCCATGGCAGGTAGGTGGGGTGATTTGTGGGATGATAGGGCGGATGATATGTGGGATGATATGTGGGATGATATGTGGGATGATAGGGCGGATGATATGTGGGATGATATGTGGGATGATATGTGGGATGATATGTGGGATGATAGGTGGGATGATAGGTGGGATGATAGGTGGGATGATATGTGGGATGATAGGTGGGATGATGGGGTGGTACGCTGGTATGGCATGTGTGTGGCATGTCGAAGTCTAGGCAGAGAGTGCAATGGCCCCCGCTCGTCGTCCCTCAACCTTCCCCCGTAACCCCCTGCCACCTCGCCCGCCAGACGGCATGTCGTTCTTTCAGTCTGACAACGGCGTGATCCTCTCCTCCGGCTTCGACGGCTGCATCCCTCCCAAGTACTTCTCATCCATCCTCAAATGGCCCTCGCTCCTCTCCCACCCACTCTCCCCTCTTTCTCCTCCGCCTTTCCCCACACCCGTCCCGCCCGCCACCTCTGCTGCTGCTTGTGTGGGTGAGGCAGTCGGCCCGTTTATAGACTCAATCCAGGGGGGTCTGGGAGTTTTCACGCCTGTCCCTCCCGCTACATCCGCTGCTGCATGTGTGGGGGAAGCAGTTGGGCCGTTTCTAGACCTCAACCAGGGGGGGTTGGGAGTGAACACACGTGTTCCCCCGGCTGCTTCGGCCGCGGTGTGTGTTGGGGAAGCGAGTGTGAGGAGCGATGGGGGCGGCATGGGGGACGAGGGAGGGGCTGGGACGGCGGAATCTGGGAGAGGGGAGGTGGGAGGGTCGAATGAAGATGAGGAGATGGTGGGATGAGATGGTGGGATGAGATGGTGGGATGAGATGGTGGGATGAGATGGTGGGATGAGATGGTGGGATGAGATGGTGGGATGAGGAGATGGTGAGATGAGGCGATGGTGGGATGAGGAGATGGTGAGATGAGGCGATGGTGGGATGAGGAGATGGTGAGATGAGGCGATGGTGGGATGAGGAGATGGTGAGATGAGGCGATGGTGGGATGAGGAGATGGTGAGATGAGGCGATGGTGGGATGAGGAGATGGTGAGATGAGGCGATGGTGGGATGAGGAGATGGTGAGATGAGGCGATGGTGGGATGAGGAGATGGTGAGATGAGGCGATGGTGGGATGAGGAGATGGTGAGATGAGGCGATGGTGGGATGAGATGGTGGGATGAGGCGATGTTTGGGACAGACAAGGGGATGGTGGTGTTACTAGCACAGCCCAGCTTGACTACATCCCGCTCGGGACGGGTCGGGAAGGGAAGGAAGTGGTGGTGGTGCAGCACGGTGAGGGACGGAGCACTTCTGAGTCGGACGCAACACTCTCAAGTGTTGGTGTAGTGAGTGATGGATGGGGTTGGTCTAACAGGTGCAAAAGGTATGTAGCATAGGTAGAGGTCTGCTTAGCTTGATCTCGAACAAATGGACACCCCTCAAATTTTACTAAAGTCGCTGATACGAACATTTGCATTTGTTGCCCTTTTCACCATCTTATTGTTGCAACAAGGCCGCTGCGGACATGTCAGGTGTAAAGCAGGTTTTTTTGTTCTCATTCCTAACAAATGGCCTAAACAGAAGTCACTAAATTCTACAAGGACATGATTGTTGTCGTGCCGTCGTAAAACCAGTACGCGGTACTAGTATGTGGAGCGATTCTTCGCAAATTAGGGAGGATACGTACCGCAGTTGTGCCAACACGACACTGTAGATATGCAACCACACTACAGTACGGGTTTATGCCACTACATGCGGCTATATTTTAAAGCGAAAAGAAAGCAAAACATAGCAGAAAGATAATATACAAGCAATAGGGTATTCCAAAACTATACAGAGGAGATGCCAGGCGCAACCCAGCACACCCAGAAGAGGCCTCTTCTGAGGCACGCCCTCTTTATTCCCTTAGCAGTTAGGTCCTGTTCTCTCTTCCATGCACTATCCTTCCCCTCATGCCTTTCTCTCCTCTTCAAAACAGCTATCCTCATGCGAATCATCCCCCCTCCTGCACTCCTCTCTTAGGCTGAGTCTCCCTGACGCTCACCCTCCCCCTTCCCCGCCCTCCTCATCCTCTTCTCCCTCCTCACAGCGTTCAAAGCTCCCAAAAAACCTTCACTGGAGCCCCCCTCCCTCTCCCCTTCTCTCCTCCGTTTCTCCCCCACACCCTGGCCCTGCCCAGTGAAACCACCAGCATGGCTTGGCGTGTTGGCAGCAACTTTACTTGAATCCAAGTCACTCTTGCCTTTTCCAGTCCTCTCCCTCTCCCCCGCCCCCTTGCTCTGCCCAGTGATGCTCCCAGCATGGCTTAGAGACCGCAGCAGAGGCAGTGGGGGCAGGCACAGGCGCGGGCTGCCGAGGCTGCTTGCCGAGCCTGAGTAGCCGGTTTGGCCGAGGCAGGAGAGAGTGGAGGGTGGGGAAACGCGCAGGCTGCTGCCGCTGGTTTGCATGGTGCTTGCTCGGGCCAGAGCAGGCTTCCCCTCCCGCTGTGGCTGCTCCTGCTGCTGGTAGTGTTGCTGCTGCTGCAGCTGCCACTCCCGCTGCTGCTGCTGCTGCAGCTGCAGCTGCTGCTGTTCCTTCGTCACCTGCTTCCCGTGCACCATCTTCTCTCCCTCCCCCTCTCGGCATCCAGAGCAGAAGAAGCTCATGGGGGCCGGCGCAGCGTCCCCAATCCCTCTGCACCGCGTGTGCTGCCACACGCCGCACGTGTCGCATGCGATCATGCGCTCGCCGTCGTCGTCCCTCGCCCCGCACGCGCACCGCACGGCCCACGCGTCGCAGCCGCCCTCGTAGCGCCACTCGCTGCGGGGGTCCAGGTTGGAGATGGCGAGCAGCAGAGAGGCGCCCGAGTCCAGAGTGCCGAAGAGAAGATCGTCCTCGTCTAGGTCTGTGAGGTCAGCAGGCAGGCCCGAGATCTGGTGTGGAGTAACGGGGCAGAGGGAGAACCGAGACGGGAGGGGAGGGTACGTGAAAAAGGGTCCAGGCTGGAGATGGCGAGCAGGAAGGAGGCGCATGAGTCCAGCATGCCAAAGAGAATTTTGTCCTCATCCACGTCTGTGAGGTCAGCAGGCAGGCCCGTAATCTGGTGACGGAGTAGAGCGAAAGAGAGGGTGGGGAGGGTGTGGGAATGGGTTCTCACTCCATTGGTTCACTCCGCATAGCCCAGGAGTCGCTGCCTGCCCATGACGTGGTGACGATTGGGTGGTGGGAAAGTGGCAATGATGTGTCAGAGACTTGGTTCAACTCAAGACAGCTGAGTTGACGGAAGCTGCATCATGGTTTTTATCAGGAAACAGCACCCACCCACACCAGATTCGACCTACCTGCATGTGCCGAGCCACAGGGTAGGTTCGGGAGAAGGCTCGGCAGGCAGCAGCCTTGAGATCCGCCACGGTGGCATCGGGGGGTAGGGTTACCATCTCCGGAGGGGGGATAGGCCAGTTGCGAGTGGTGTCCGCGTCCCTTGCATTGATGCTGGTGGGCGGGAAAAGGGGGGGAAGGTAGGGGAGATTTGGGGGGGGTGGGGGGGGGAAACAGGGACAGAGGGATTGAGTTTGGTGGAGCATGGTGCATACGACAACCACCTGGACCAGACAGCACCAGCTCTAGAAAGTACCTTCGGCAGAGAGCACCTGCACGAGATAGTACCTGCAGAGCACTCGAATTGTCCCGTCTTCGAATTCACTTGCAGCTGTCTCTGTAGCTGCCACTGCGGCTGCTTGCTCCCTGGTCAGCTCGCCCTTGTAATCCTTGAAGAATTGCTTTGTATCGAGTATGATTTGCACAGCTTCAGAAAAGGTTGAGAGGGAGAAACCCGGATGTGACTCTGCCTGACACACCCGCTGCTGCAGCTGCTGCTGGTGCTGCTGCTGGTGCTGCTTGTGAGTCTGGTGGCAGTGACCATGTGCGGATGTGACTGTGAGCAGCAGGTGCTTGTAAAGGAACTCAACATCTCGAGTCACATCAGCCCTGGTGATGGGCGCTGAAGTCAACACAGCAGGACTCACAGCCGCTGCTGCTGCTGCTCCTCCTCCTCCTGCTCCTGTTCCTGCTCCTGCTCCTCCTGCTGCTGCTGCTGCTGTTGCAGTGACTTCCTCCTTCCGAGGGTTGTTGCCCAAGCACGAGCCCCTCCGAACGGGCTCGGGCGACCATCGCCTTTGATTGCCTCCAGGACTCGCTACCTCCACCTCCCCCCTGCCCTCACCACCTTGCCTCTCCCCAGTCACTCCCTCTCCTCCGTTTCCCTCCCCTCGCCTTTCCCCACCCTTTTCCCCACCGCTTGCCCCACTCTCCCGCTGCAGGGGCTCCAGGCTAAACTCCAGCACTTTGCTAAGCGGGTTAATCGCCCTTCTCACCACCACATCCCCCACCAGCCGGTTCCCCAGCGACTTGAGCACGAAGTCCAGCAGCCCCGTGTCGCCGATCCTCTGCCGAGCCGCCTCCCGAACCTCGTGGCGGGGCAGCCAGGCGCCGGGGCGGAGGGAGAGCACGTCGACGATGACCTCCTGGGCGAGGTGCAGGCGCTTGGCGGACCAGCGGCAGGAGGGGGAGTCCGCGGGCAGTGGGCTGATGATGATGGGCTCGCTGCTCAGCTGCCGCCGATGGTACTCTGCTGCTGGTGCGGCTGCTGGTGCTGCTGGTGTTGCAGGGTTGCCGATTGGACTGTCTAGGAACGGAAGGAACTGCTTGCTCCTGGGAGTGGCTGTCGAGGGAGTGACTGTAGAGGGAGTGACTGTAGAGGGAGTGATAATGCTGGGGGAAGGTGGAACGTCCACTTGTTGATAGCTGGTTGGTGGAATCGGGGATGGCATGGCCTGCTGCTGCTGCTGACGCAGCAGATGCCGATGCTGACGTGGCGACAGCTCGTCGGACAAGCACGAGGCAGAGCTAGGGCTGGGCTCCCCGGTCAGCTGGCGTGCCATGATTGGTTGGAGGGGCGGGAAGAGGGGTGGGAGGGTGAGGGGGGAGGGGGGACGAGGCGACGAGCCGAGAAGGAGAGGAGGGGGGAGCGGGAGGAGGAGGGGGAGGGGAGGGCGGCGGAGAAAGGTGTTGCTGCAGCGGCGGTGGTAGCAGGAGTAGCCGGAGTAGCCGGAGTAGAAGGAGCGATGGGGGGCGGGAGAGAGGAGGAGTGGAGGAGGTGGGGGAAGTAGTGGTGTTGGTGGTGCAGGGGGAGCGGGAGGGAGGAGCGGAAGGCGAGGAGGGAGGAGAAGAGGTGCTGAAGGGTCAGGTTGGGAGGCGCAGGATGGGGGGCATGACGGTCATGATAAACCCCGTACCCTTCTCCCTCTCCTGCGCCTGCTCCCTCTCCTGCTCCCTCTCCTGCCCAGCCTGCAGCCACACCAGTACCAGGAAGCAGCAGCTTCCCACACTTAGCCTGCAACTGGCACTCAGCCGGGGCCTGGCACTTGGCAAGCACGTGCGCCTGGTACTTAGCGATAACCGCCGCCACCCGGGACGCGATCCCCGTGTTGATCCCCCTCAGGTGCTGCAGCAGGGGCAGCAGGCGTGTGCCGGCCACACGCTCCACGGCCCGGCTGTAGCGGTCCTGCGTGATGCCAAACGCCCCGTGGGCGAAGCTGTAGCCCCAGCGGGCGAACCAGGAGTGCGAGAAGGCGACTGAGTGCAGGAGGCGATAGTCGGAGGAGAAGGAGAGCTTGTGTGAGAGGTCCTCCACGCTCACCACCCTGGCGCGCAGCATGTGGCAGATGTTGTCCCATAGCTGCATTAGCTGCCGCCCAGAAAGCACGTGCGAGCCGGCCGCACGGCCGTTGAGCGTCACGAGGTGGCCGAATCCGTTGGAGTGGATGACCCCGTGCAGGAGGTGCGCGGGGGAGGTGAGGGAGAGCGAGCGGCAGGCGGCGGCAGTGATGCTACAGTGATGGTGGTGGGAGGACGAGTTGTGGTGAGCGCTGGTGCTGGTGTTGGTGTTGGCGTTGGTGGTGGTGTTATTGGTGGTGCTCCGGGTGTGACGTGGACTGATGCTATTGGGTGCGGCTGTGAGAACCTGTGACTGGAGGGGAGCGAGTGGGGAGGGGAGGAGGGATGGGAGGAGTTTCTGGGAGGTAAATGGGAGAAGGGGGGGATAAGTTTCAACAGGCGGTGCGATGAGTGATGGAAGACAAAGTATAAGAGTGAAGGATGGCATAGGGGCAGATGTAGGGTGATTACCTCGGCGCGCGGGTGCGAGTGCGGGTTCTTGACTGGAATGATCAAGTGGTACTTGTGGGACGCGATGGGGTGATGGCACCAACCTGCGCAAAGCCACACGGGGAGAGAAAGGGTGGGGAGAAGGTGAGACCCAACATTCCTACCAAACATCTTCACCACTACGCCACGCAGCCTCCCCTCCCCCACCAACCCCCGCCCCCTCCCCCTCTCCTCCCCCCCCACCTCCCCCCCCGTCTTCCTTCCTGCCCTTTCCCCCATGAGCCATTCTTTACCCGAGCTCCTGCAGTGGTCGCAGTGCGGATTGGCGGACCCCACCGTCCCTTCCGCCACCAGCAGCAGCGGCAGCAGCACTTGCTGCGCCGGATGCGCGGGATGCGTGCCCCCCTGAAGCTGCGCCTGCTGCTGCGCCGCCCCATGAAGCGGCGCCAGCTCCGCAGGTCCCGCGCTCACGCACAGCGCGTCCGTCGCGGGGACCCCCGCGTTGGCTTCCGAATTTGGGTCTAGCGCGGAGCCACCACCCCCGCGGACTTGAGCGCGCGGAGTGGCAGGAGGAGGCGGGCCGATAGCGCACGCGGAAGCGGAAGGGGAAGCGGAGGCGGAGGGGGAGATTGGGTCCGCGGCGAGCGCCAGTGGCGGCTGCGCAAATGCCTCGGCGCGAGTGACGGTAAGAAGAAGGCTCCACGTCGGATGACCCTCGACACTGTCACACGCGAATCAGGGGAAGACGCGGAAGGGGAACGGGGGAAGGGAAGGGGGGAAATGGGGAACGGCGGAGAGGGGACGAGGGGGGGGCAGCAGAAGTGCAGGTATTAGGGCGAGAAGTTAAAGGCGGAGTGGAAGGAGCGGAACAGAAAGCTGGCAGGCGTGGAAACTGGAGACGGACAGCTTGTTTTTTAGAACACCCTGCGAGACATTGACAGATTCGGCGAAACATTTTTCAGCTCGGCGAAAAACTCGGGTTCCTGTGAAAACGAAGGCCGCGCGCGAAGCGCTACTAAAACGACAGGTAGACTCATACCCCTCGGGTTCGCGTTGCATGACGTCAGCAGCGAGCGACATCACATTGTCGCGAAACGCGCCACGGTATTCCGCAGGGTACCCCGGCTCGCCGAACCTAAGGGCCGAGTAGGTCGGGCGCGGCAAAACGGCAGCGGAATGAGCGGAAGCAGCCGCCCCTCGGATTGCGGCGCCGCGAGCGGCCAAGTCCGCCCTTCTATTCGATCGCCGCGGCTTGGTCGAGCAGCGCCTCGTCGGCGGCGTCGCTCCGTCGCAGCCGCCGGTACTGCGGCCGTAGAAACAGCCGCCTTCCTCCGCCGCCGCAGCATCATGCAGCGGCGCCGGCGCCGGCTGCTGCTGCTGGCTGGGAAAATCCGCCCCCGAGCCCCAGCTGCCGCCAGGAGCAATCGTCGAAGCTTCGTCAGGGTTATGGTACACCTCGCCGGGGCCCATAGTAGCGCTGCGAGTCTCCGATAGAAGCTCAACCTTGAGGCACTCCGCCACCGCCGGCTGTCTCGCTATAGGCACCGCCATCTCGTGCTGCCCGCAGCTCGGCTCGACGCTCAGCGCGGATGCCTGGCCGCTGCTCGGTGCCCAGCTCGGGGCACAGCTCGGCGCGCAAGTCTGCCGGCAGCTTGGGACGCAACTCAGCGGATAAATCGGCGCGCAGCACGCCTGGTGGTGGCGGGGATAACAATCACCGGTTTGCCCTTTGAACCGCTTCGATTCGGGCTCGCTAAAGGCACCGGCGCTCCTGGCGCCTTGCCACGTGGCTGAACACGATAGCTGCGGCATGTGGAGCAGCGCTGGTTGGGGGGACAGCTGCGGCAGAACCAATCGGCGCGACGACGACGGCGTCAACGGCGTCTCAAACCCGTCAGTAGCCGCAGGAATTAACCCGTCAACGTCCCCGTTAACGTCCACTTCGCCCTCGCTCTTCGCCCTCAGAGCAGGTGCCGCCGCCGCCGCCGCCGCCGCCGCCGCTGCTGCAGCCTCCGGCGGAGCGTCGTTAATCGCCGCGCCTTCGATTTGGAAGTCAATTGTTTCCTGAAGGCTTTCGAGCGAGCTGTTGTCCGCGCCTAAGAGGTCCTCTACGTTCACGTTACACGACTGGATTAGGATCCGATCCGCATGCAGACTCTGGATTAGGCTCGGAGCCTGCGCAGTTGACTCGTCCTCTCGCTGCCGCTTATCTCCGCGAAGCGAAGGCACTTTAGCTGAGTCAATCAGGGAATCGCCGAGGGATCCCATGAAATCAGACTCGCACTGGAGAAGCAACGACGCCATTTCCACAACCTCCTCGTCGGAAATATGGTCCTCGGTACTCGAAGTACCGCATTCGGCGGGCTGCCATAATTCGACCTGCTGTGCGGAGCATGGCGTCACCGCTGCCGTGTGCTGCGACGCTGATGAGACCCAGAGCACCATAATGATCGGCTTCCGAGATTAGGAATTGTGGTTATAGGATGAGGCTTCGCTGATGGAGCATTTGCTCTTGCGGGGATCCTGAGAAAACAATTCGCTGTTCGCTGGAGATTTTTCCCTTGGATGAAGTTCGTCGAGGGAATTTGGGCAGTTTGGCTTCCGGACAGTGGCTTCCGAACAATTCCCAGAAAAGCGACGGGAAATGGCGAAACTGAGCGGCAAACAGAAGCTGGACGACTGAGGACGGAGGAGCGAAGGACGCGTATTGGAAGTAGGTGCGGCAGGGGCAGGCTGAGTCACCCACCAGCTATATCAGCAAGGGTTTGTCCTGGAGCATCAACAATGTCGGAGAAGCAGATGCTATCAGAAACTGGTAGAGGATTGAGTCGAACAAGTACAGGGGCCCAACATGTGTGCGATGCCCCTAAATGTGTGAGTGAGGAAACAAATATCGAGGGGCTTATGAATGGCAGCGCTGCAGGAGGCTTGGTGTTTGGAGGGAGCGGAAAGGCAGAGGTGAGCCGACATTTTGCGTTGGATGGGGGTGGGAGGGGCGAGGCAGGAGAAACCCGAGGCTGGCGGACGGTGGAGAGGAGGGAGGAGGAGGAGGAGGGGGGACGGAATTGACTGGAAGGGTGTGTGCGGCTGACGGAAAACACAGACCGCGTCGGCAGAAGGGGGCTCATGGGGTGGCGGCCCGACTGTGCTGTGAGGCGGGAAAGGCGTTTGGGGAAGAGGTAAGGGGGAACGACCATGTGGAGGAAAGCTCTGCTTGCGCCAGCACTGTTTTCCGTTGCGGACTGAGCACGAGCACTGAGCACATGCCGTCCAGCACGAGGGAGGGGCAGAGCTCTCGAGGGAGGGTTGGCAGCAGGCCTCTCGATAACCTAGGGGTCACCCTGCAGAATCCGAGTTTGCCTGGGATCCAACTCGTCCATGCTGGGTAGCCCTAAACATTTGACTGTTTTTGCAGGCCAGAGTTTCGACCAGCTTGGAATGTACCACTCCTGACAATGACAGGGGGAGCCGTTCTTAATAGGGGTGCGATGCGAACTCATACATTTGATTTTACAGGGCGAGTCCATCCCCTACTCGAAAATCGGCCGTGGGATAATTTTGGATGCCTGTCCATGGACGGGTATCGATATCTGAATGCGTCAAAAGCAGGGCTAGGTCGAAAGTTTACTCTTTTTCCTTGACAAAGCAGTGTAATTTCCCTGACTTCCAGAAGCCTGGTTAGCAGAGCAGGCAGGCTGTTTGCCTATAAGACACTCCGTCAGGTTCCGTTAGTGAATCGAACGAGGACAGGTCAGACCGCCCGTAAAACCCCCGTGGAAAGCCCCTACTGGTGAACAGCGCGCTAGAAGTTTGGAATGGCAGCCCATCAGCAACTAAACCGAGCTGGCAGACTTGGTCCTCCATGCTCACAACGATATTTTCACATGCTCAGCCATGCCACCGCTGCTGAGGGTAACTGCGCGGAACTGTTGCGCCCAAGCTGACGGAGCTCCTTGCGCAGCTGGCCAGTCAGCTTGCTCCCCCTTCCCCTTGGCCCGCGGGGAGGTCGAGCGGAGGCGAATCTGCCTTTTCGAAGCTCAAGTTCCAGCGCCACTCGGTTGCTGCAACCACAGCCACATCTGCCTCCATAATCATAACTGCATGTGGAGCAGAGTGCAATGGCAGGAATTGCATCAGCACGATTCGGGCACGCATAAATAAATACACTTCTTCAGGACAGATGGCTTCTTATACAGACCACACGACCACCGGAAGAAGAAAGGTTACCTTATCAAAGTCCTCGAAATTTTTTTTTTTCAAATCCGTGCAGCTTGGCAAGGGTGCCCCAGCCCAAAAGTCCTCTCAGCTCTAGTGTACGGTACAGAAGTTCGTGGAGGATTCAAACAGTACCATGGGCACGGTCGTGACAGAACTTAGACATTGGCTCCTGCAAACTAGCGCAATGATGGGTCGTTTTCGCGTGCAACTTTCGTTAGACTCTCTAAAGACTGTGTTAGTACACTGGTTATGCAGCATCAATGCTCTGCTACTTCTCATTATCATGGTTTCAACCTTACATGTAGAACACACAACACAATTGGACACAAAAAACGCATTATTCGATATCCAGATGTAAAAATAAATTCCTGTATATTTAAGGCCATTAATATTGTTCAATTTTCATTGTATTCAATTAACACGGAATTATTCCTGAAATGTGAGTAAAATACCAAATATTTTTACATCAATCTGAGCTCTTATGCTAAAGCATGTGGTGCGATTCTCTTTATTTCTAGCTTGAAACTAGGTGAGCCTGTACCGCGTGCAATCCCAAACCGAAGCACACCACCAAACCCTGAAACATAGGAGGGGTTGAACCACCGTGGCAGTCGCAACGGCGCACAGCAAGGATTGAGGGGCTGCCAGCCAGCAGGAATCTCCCGAGCCTGCCAAGGGCGGGAAATTCGTTGTGTGCAGACCACGAGAAAGCGCGGGGGATGGGCAGGCAGCAGCTCCCATCCCACGGTCTTGGAATTCAGAAATTCTGGAAACCTGTCCCTACCCAAGCATGTTCCTGCCCGACCACCATCGCCACCACAAACAAAACCCCGATTTCCCCCCAAACCAGAAACCTCCTCACCCTTTTCATACGCGCTATTTGTGCTCCGCTATTGTTCCGTTGTGGGACAACATGTGACATACAAACCCCCATCCCCCATCCTTCCCCCTCCCCTCACCCTCACACCAAAACCCCCCTGCAGCCTCTTTCCTTGATCCCTGATCTCCTTCAGTAGCCTCATTGACAATTCTTGGCTGTTTCCTTCTGCCTTTCTCTCAGCTCTTCCCAGCCCGTGAGAGGGTCATAGTAACTCGACCATGGCGAAGTCCGCATGGGGCTCCAAATCTTGGGCCGACGATGTCGAGGAGGGGGAGAAGGAGCTTCCTCCTCCCGCTTTCCCCGAGCTCAAGCAGACCGCGTCTCAGCCGTCCGATGAAGCCTTTCCGACGCTAGGCCAGGCGGCAGCCAAGCCGCAAAAGAAAAAGAAGGAAAAGGTCACGCTCTCGCTGTCGGAGTTTACCACAGGCGCGTATGTCGGTCCCGGAGCGCGATCTAGGACGACTATAGTCGAGGACGTTAAGGGGCTTACCTTCCAGGAGAAGATGGCGCTTCCGACGGGCCCTAGGGAGCGCAGCGAGGACGAGGAATCCAGCGGATTAGGCGGCGGGTTCCGAGGTTACGGGGGTTTCCGCGGCGGCGACAGGGGAGGCGGTCGCGAAGGTCGCGACGGTCGTCGCGAGGATCGCGAACGACCGCCGAGGGAGGACGACGGGCCGTCTCGGGCAGACGAAGTCGACAACTGGGCAACGACGAAAAAATTCGTGCCGTCTGGTGACGCCGGCAGGTCCCGCGGCGGTGGTGGCGGCCGGTACGAGGACGACGGCGGCCGTCCAGGGCGTGATGGTCCGTCAAGGGCCGACGAAGTCGACAACTGGGGCGCGACGAAAAAGTTCCAGCCGTCTCAGTCCATGGGCGGGGATCGCGGAGATCGCGGCGGAGATCGCGGAGACCGCATGGGCGGGCCGTCACGCGCCGACGAAACCGACAACTGGGGCGCCGCCAAGAAGTACGTCCCGTCCGCGTCCGTGGGCGGCGGCGGCGGTCGCAGCGGGTTCGGCGATCGCGAAGGCGCGCGCGCAGACGACGTTGACAACTGGGGCGCGGCGAAGAAATTTGTGCCGTCCTCCAGCCGGGACGGCAGGAGGGACGGGCCCAGGGACGGCCCTAGGGATGGTCTCGACGCGGACCGCTGGGGGAAGGAGACCCGCGAAGAGCGCCTGTCGGAGCGCCCTCGCCTCAATCTCCAGCCGCGCAAGCCTGTGGCGGAGGGCGAGGGGGGGAGCGCGGAGGGGAAGGCGGAGGATGCGAACAAGCCCAAGAAGCCGAGCCCGTTCGGGGAGGCGCGCCCGCGCGAGCAGGTGCTGGCGGAGAAGGGGATCCCCCTTGCGCCCGAGTCCCCTTCCGCCAGGGGGGGATCGGCGGAACCCGGGGCGGAGGTTAAGGCGTCCAAGCCGGCGGTGAACCCGTTCGGGGAGGCGAAGCCGCGGGAGGTGGCGCTGGAGGAGCGCGGAATGGACTGGCGGAAGATGGACCTCGAGCTCGAGCACAAGGCCGTTAACAGGTGCGTGAACCGAGAAACGTTGTAACGCGTATGAATGTTTTCGGATTGGACTGGCGGAAGATGGACCTTGAGCTGGAGCACAAGGCCGGTAACAGGTGCGTATCTTCGACTTTCTAGTGAGAAACGCACTAAGGAGCATAAGCCTCAATGGAATGGACTTGCGGAAGATGGATCTGGAACTGGAGCACAGGGCCGCTGACAGATGTGTTGAGTTGCCATGCTTTCAAGAACCGCAGTAACCCGTACGAACCTGCGGTCTGTCGTGTCAGATTTGAGGACCTTCGAGGCATGGAATTTACCAACAGGCGTTTGTTCTTCTTCCACGCGTCCCGAGATACGAAGCGAGATACGAAGCGAGACTTGAAACCTAGGGATTATCGCACGAAGTTGTCAGCGTAGAGATACGAAGAAGGAAGCGCTGCGAGCGCTGAGGGCTTCGTAGCGGTCCTACAGGCGCTCAGGGCTTGGTTGCGCTCAGGGCTTGGTTGCGCTCAGGGCTTGGTTGCGCTCAGGGCTTGGTTGCGCTCAGGGCTTGGTTGCGCTCAGGGCTTGGTTGCGCTCAGGGCTTGGTTGCGCTCCTACGAGCGCTCTAGAGCCTGGAGGGTTCTGGGCTTTCGAGTATCACTTTTGTGCCGGTTTGTGCTACTCTTCGTTAGGATCAAGCGGGTGGTTTTAGCTGCTTGTATCGGGGATGGCGGTTAGCATCTCAACTGGTGTGACGGTCGAGTCCTGGCGGCTATGGAGTGGAGGGTCTCTAATCAGAATGAACTTGAGTGTCCCGCTGATCAGCGCTGGTTGCCTCGTAGAATCTCGGTGATCGCTTCACTTGCCGATGCGCCTCACTCCCTGGGTTGGCTTGCTCTGCTCCCCCTTTTAGACTGCTCCCCCTTTTAGACTGCTCCCCCTTTTAGACTGCTCCCCCTTTTAGACTGCTCCCCCTTTTAGACTGCCCCCCCTTTACGAAGCGATTCACCGGAGCTTGGCACCGTAATCCGGAGAGTAATGCTTTTGCGGTGCACTCGTCCCAAGTGAGTCTCAACTGCGAACCTTTCACCTGACCCCCACTCCCCTCGCCCCGCCTCGCCCCTTCTCTTTGACTCTCGCCTGCCCCCCACCTGCAGGGCCGAGACGGAAGAAGAGAAGAAGCTTCGTGAGGAGGTGGATGCTCTTGCTGCCAAGCTGCAAGCCGCGACGGGCAAGGGGGAAGGGAAGGCGGAGAAGGAGGGGGAGGGGAAGGGGGAAGGAGAGAGCAAGGAGGGGGAGGCGCAGCAGCAGGCACCTGAGCTTTCACCTGAGGAATTGTCGGCTCTGGAGAAGGAGCTTGCGGAGAAGCAGATACAACTGGAGCAGCTGGTGCTGGAGCTAGACGACAAGGTGAAGTACGCGCAGAAGCAGGAGAGACAGGCGCGAGATAAGCAGGCAAGGGAGAAGGAGGGAGGCGCGGCGGGCAGCGAAGGGGGTGTTAGAGAAGGGGCAGCAGGAGGGGGAGGGGGAGGGGGAGGGGGAGGAGCGGGAGGGGAAGGGGCCGGGCAGAGTCGTGGGGCTGCTGCTGCTGGTGCGCCGCTGGCCAATGGGAATGCGTGGGGCGGGGGGGCGAGGAGAGGGGGGGACGCTTGGAGGAGTAACACAGTAGCGAATCCCGAGGGCGCGGGGGCTAGTAAGGGGGACGCGTGGCGCGGCAGCCGGAGCACAGCGGGGCCAGGCCGGGAAGGGGCGGAGCCACAAGCCAGGCCGACGCAGAGGACAGGGGGGTGGTAGAGCGTGGATAAGCTGCATGGTGGCAGCTGTCCAGATATTTGAGAATCCTCGAAAACCTATGACAGCTGCGTGGTGGTTGTCCAGGGGAACGGATGGCAGGGGATGAGGGAGGAGGGGCATGGAGGAGGGAGCGGGCGATGGACAGCGGCTGTTAGGGAATGTTAGTTCTGCGTGTACTGTACCGGTGCTAGTAATTGTGTTTTGAGTTCGGAAGGACTAAAGCCTCAGCTAGGGAGGATCATTCGCTCCTTCCTCGTTACTGAGGCTGCTGCTTTTTCTTGCTTTAGTTTAGCCTATGCACCTGGGTCGTTCTTTCTTACTTTATTTCCACCCAAGCACAATGCCCTGCTTTGGGTTAGTTCTTAAACTAAAATCCCTTGCTAAGCTCATTTTTGAAACAGATTATTAGGTACTGTAGTACCAGGTGCACCTACGAGGAGCAGAGCGATTAAGGCCGCGTTCAGGAAGTTTGGCCGATGGCAAATTTTATGTAAGTTATATATTTGATAGATATATATTGGTAGGCTTGGTAGGTGATACTGGATTCTACTGTAGAGGGTACAACCGCCCCCTTCTTGTATCCCTCTTATTTTCAATCTCTCTTCTCTCTCGATATTTTTCCTAGCACCTAAAACCTCTCGCCATTCCATGGCGTCTCTCCTAGCTAGCTTCTCTAACATGGTTTCAGAGCAAGTTGCTCTTTCTGGGCCTGCTTGCCACGCTTCAGCCGTGTCTTAGAATTGAAGAAGTGTTGAATAGAGAGAGAGTACAAGGGTATATACCTAAGAGTGTTGTACCCTCTAAGAGGCGACCCTATACAGTCTATACAAACATGAGTTATACTTATGTTTGACACACCCCCTAGAATGCATAAGGGAATGTCCTAAACAAGCAGCTCAGGGCGGCACTACTAGTCCAACCTCTGAGACAAGGGTCTAAAAGACCAGTCAGACGGAGTTGAGACAAGGCAAGAAAAAGACCAGGGCGGCACTACTAGTCCAGCCACTGGGAGAGGACACAAGTCCAGTCTGAGTATGCATATAAAGGACAGCACAAAGTGAGAGGCTACATGAACTAGACCAAGTTGTACGCAGTGGCGCTGATGATCTTTAGGCGCAAGCGCCTTCGTAAAGATATCAGCTGTGTTGGCACCTGAGGCCAAGTGTACTACGCGAGCCTGGCGTCGCTGCTGTAGCTCGCGCAGCAGGAAGTATTGCAGCTGAATATGCTTCGCTCTGCCCTCGAGTCGAGGCTCCTGACACAGGAGGATCATGGCCCTGTTGTCAGCGAACAGGACCGAGGCAGAGCTAGGCCGCTCACCTAAGTCAGTGAGCAAGAAGGTCAGCCAGCGGAGCTCCTGTGCCGCCATGGCACCAGCATAGATCTCGGCCTCACAGCTGGACTGGGCAACAGACGAGGAGCTGGTAGCTCTCCACGAGACGGCGCCTGAGCCAAGGCTGAAGAAGTAGCCCTGGGTAGACCTGAGTGTCTCGGCGTCGTCTGCCCACGAAGCCTCGGTGTGTCCAGTAAGGACCACTGGCCTGCGTCCTCCTAGCACTAACCCCATGCCCGATGTACTAGCAAGATAACGCAAAACCCTCTTAGCGGCAAGCCAGTGCTGCGGTCGGTGTCTGCCTGTGGCCACAAAGCGAGCCAGGATGCTAAGAGGGTATGCGAGATCTGGGCGAGTGCAATTCATCAGGTACATGAGGCAACCCACCAGCTCTGCGTAGGGGCCGCTGGGCTCTACCGACTCCTCAGACACTTGAGCGGAGAGTCTGTGGTCTACAGGCAGAGGGGTGGGGTGTGCAGAGGAGAACTGAAGGCTGAACCTCTGAAGGACCTGGCGCACCAAGTGTGACTGAGTCAGGGTGATGGTGCGCGCTGCTCTGTCCCTGGAGATCTGCAAGCCAAGGTAACAGCGCAGTTCTCCAAGGTCAGTGCACGTGTGTCTCTTCAGCAGCTCTGCCTTCACGGAGGCTAGTGCGTCCTTGTCTGCTGTGGCAAAGACCAGGTCGTCGACGTAAACAAGGATGTAGAACGGAGTCTGGCCAGCACGAACGAAGAGTGAGGGGTCTGCGGAAGACGGAAAGAACTGCAGGTCAGCAAGCGTAGCACGGAGAGTGTCGTGCCACTCACGGGGAGCCTGGTGCAGGCCGTAGACAGGGCGCCGCAGGAGCCACTGGGTCCCAGGAGGGAAGGTGCCAGTAAAGCCCTGAGGGCGACGCTAGTAGACCTGCTCATGTAGGCTGCCCTGAAGGAAGGCAGTGGAGAAGTCGAGGGAGTGAAGCTCGTAGTCACGCTGTGCTGCTACGTGTAACAGAACCCGAAGAGTAGTCATCTTCGGGGTCGGAGCGAAGGTCTGGAAGAAGTCCACCCCCTCACGCTGACTGAAGCCTCTAGCCACGTAGCGCGCCTTGAAGACAGGCGGCTCTCCAGGAGGGCGCTTCACATTGAAGAGCCAGCGGCCATCGACTACGTTCACCCCAGGCGGGGGAACTGCGTCGACGAAGGTGCCAGTGGATCTCCAAGATGCCATCTCCTGCTCCATGGCAGCTATCCACTGAGAGGCCCAAGGTCCCGAGGTCGCCTCAGCGTAAGTGCGAGGGGTCGGGATGTCGAAAGCGTCTGGGTCACCCCCAGGGACTAGCAGCATGGAACAGAGATGGGGAGCAGCCTCGGACAGGAAAGCAAGCTCGAACTGGCGGTCCTCCAGGACGTCACTGCCAAGGGCAGGAGCACCCTCGACAGACGGAGGACAGGCAGGGTCAGAGACCAGAGCGGAGGCGTAGTCAAGGCGGCGGGTAGAGGCGAAGTCAGCGACCGCAGCAACAAGAGCGGCAAGGCACGAGACCGGAACAGACGGGTCGGTAACGAGAGAGGCAAGGACCCGAGGAACAAGAGGACGAGCGGCACGGAGGTAGTCAGACAGCGGGGGGGGGGTGCAACAACAAGGGAGGACGGAGGAGGCGACGGGAGAAGGGGAGGACGAGACGCGTGGGAACGAAGCAACATAGCGTGGGAGCGCAAGACAGGCGAGGCAGGACGAGCACGGGAGGGACGGTGAGATTAGACGTGCGACGGAGGAGTCGGGTCAGGAGACAGGGGAGGGGACACAGGAGGGGAACGAGGAGGAAGACGGGCCGGGGACGAGTCCGGCGGAGGGAACACAGGGCCGTAGACGGGAAGAGGAGGAGACGGTCGGAGAGGAACAGCTGCAGGGTCAGGGGACAGCAGGCCGAGCAGGCGAAGGGCTGATAACGGCGGGGACTGCTGTTGCGGCGGCACAAGGGCGACACCGGGACTGCAAGCGGCTCCGCAGCTACCACCGGCACACTCCACACCAGCACCCCCAGAGGATCCACCCCCAGGGCTACCGGGACTAGCACCCCCAGAGTCAACGAACCGGTGCTGCGACGGCGGCGGCGGCGGCGGCAGCGAGAACGACGGCTGCAGCGGCGGCAGAGGCGGTGGAGGAGGGGACTGGGGAGGGGACGCCGGGGGAGGGGCGGCCGGTGAGGACTGTGCAGCAGGGCCACCACAGTCAGAAGACCCCTCAACCGGGTCCACCGACGGAAGGGGGGTGACGTGGGACACACCTGAGGGGGCAGGACGGGGAGGAGGAGGGGGAGGGGCAGGGACTACCTGGGAAGGAGTGACCAGGAACAGGGGGGGGGTAACCGGGGGACCGCGGTGGGGGAAGCGACGGTAGTAGGAGACGGACTCGTCAAAGGTGACGTCGCGAGAGTGAAAGAAGCGGTGAGACGGCGGGTGGTAAAAGTGCCAGTCAGACGCGTCAAGGGGAAAGCCGAGGAAGACGCAGGGAAGGGTGCGGGCAGTGAGCTTGTCCGTGCCGGAGGCACGGACGTGAGCAAGGCAGCCCCAGACGTGGAACGCAGACGCGTCACCAGGAGACCCAGTCCAAAGACGGGTCGGCGAAACCTGCGGCTGCTGAGGGTGCGGCCACAGGTTAAGCTGGTGAGAAGCGTAGCGCACAGCGAACGGCCACAGAAAATGGGGTGCACCGGCATGGATCATGGAGGTGCGAGCCACCTCCATGACCAAACCGATGCGTCGCTCAGCGACCCCATTCTGCTGTGGGGAGTCCGGTAGGGTGAACGTCTGGGAGATGCCCTCCGCACGACAAAAGCGACCAAGGACACCTGAGGCAAACTGGCCACCACGGTCGGAGTGAAGACGCAAGACAGGGAGACCGCGGTGGACACGCGCAGAGACAAGCCAGGGGATGAGAGCGCCAGGCACGTCGGCCTTGCACTCCAGGGGAAAGACTGTGGTGTAACGAGTAAAGTCGTCGACAAGCACAAGGAAATAGCGCTCGCGACGCGGCCCAGGGACGGGGGCGGGGCCCCAGACGTCCAGGTGCAGGGTCTGCAGCGGCGCGGCGGTAGGGGGAAACGAGGAGGAGTGAGGGGCACGGCGAAGCCGACCCTCGACACAAGGCGTGCAAGGTGGGGCTGGGGAGGAGGGAAACGCGGGAAGAGAACCTGGGAGACCAAGGACAAGACCGTGCTGGGACATGTGACGCAGACGCGGGAGCGCAGGGTGACCTAGGCGGTGGTGCCAAAGGAGAGTCGGGTGAGTGAGGGACCGACAGGAGCAGGCAGCAGCAACCTGGGTAGACGCAGCCACCTGAGGGAGCGCCCCAGCCAGGGGGGGTCACGGTGTCCAGAGTGAACAGGCCGGACACCGGGTCCTAGGGGAACGTGGACAGGGGGGCACCCGTGGCGGCCTCGGTACAGACAGCATACCACTCGTGACCAGGGAACGTAGTGGTGACGCCAAGGTCCTGGAGGCAGCCGACACCAACTAGGTTCCTGGAGAACGAGGGGATATGCAGACCTGTGAGAGTGCCCGAAGGAACCGCCGGACAGGGAAGGGTGGTGGAACTGCGGGCGACTACCGGACCGCCAGAGGGGTCAGCAAGAGAAACGGCAGCAGGAACAGGAAGCGGCGTCAGTGTGGTGAAGTCGCGGAAGAAACACCGGGAAGCGCCAGAGTCTAGGGTGAAGGAAAGCGAAGCAGAGGCGTCTGGCGACGAAACGACGGCAGAAGCACCAAGACTACACAAAGCAGGGGATCCTATGCCTGACGCAGCAGGGGAGGCTAAGCTAGGCACACCTACACTAGCCGACAGTGAGTAATAAGCGGGAAGCACACTAGAGTCATCAGCATACATCACATGCAGAACAGAAACAATGGCATCCATGTCCATGTCAAAAATCTGAATCTTACGACTAAGCAAACTGTGCCAGTCCGGGAGGTCTGGCGACGGGCCGAAGCGCTGACGAAACAGGTCGTCCAGGCGACGAAAACAGCGGGGAGTGGAGTGACCGATCTTACCGCAAACGAAGCCGTGGCGAGGACCGGTCTGGATCTGGTACTGACAACGCACGCCTCTAGAACCACCACTCGGCACACCACCACGCGCCCGACCACCGCCAG